CCCCGGAGCTGTCGGGAGGGGGCGGCGACCTGAACTGGGGCTGGGTTAGGAGGGAGTGGGAGGGCGGACCCAGGGTGAGACCACCCTCCCCTGGCAGGGCACAGGGCTTAGCTAGAGGCCCGCGGCCCAGGCGTCAGCTGAACCCACGGCTGCCTCTGTGCCCTCCCCGCCCGCAGGGTGGCGGGGCTGGGGCTGCACCGACAGTGCCGACGCGCTCACCTACGGATTCCAGCTGCTGTCCACACTGCTGCTCTGCCTGAGCAACCTCATGTTTTTGCCACCTGTGGTCCTGGCCATTCGGAGCCGATATGTTCTGGAAGCTGCTGTCTACACGTTCACCATGTTCTTTTCCACGGTATGCGGTGCGTCAGTGTCTTCACCGAGGCATTATCCGCGGTGGTGGGCGAGGCTCTACATGTCCTCCATGTTCTCCACGGGTTTGGGGATGTCTGTACCTTTATAATATGAGGATGCCTCCAATTCGCTGTGTCTTCTATAGCAGTGCCTCCCCACCTTTTCATATCACGGCATGCCTAGAGTATGGTCATTTTTGTAAGGCACACTGGGATCAATGAACAAGCCTGTTTGTAACTTAAAATAGCCAACAGCCACTGCAGACAGTGTGGGGTCTCTAGTTGTCTCACACCCTGCCTGTCCACCCCGAGGGCCGAGGGGACCTTTACTTCAATATGCTGGACTGGAGGAGTAACTCCGTTCTGCAGTAGGAAATTGTGCCTTCACCACGAGAGATCTGCATGCAGGCAGGAAATCTGCTCTTTCACCTACGTGTCTAATGGAGAGTTGTCAGCTTCATCATACGCTTTCACCATGTGAGGGCTAGCTATACTGTTCATGTTCCTCATCGGGCGGAGGGTCTCTACAGCGAGCATGCTCTTTCTTATGGTATGAAAAGACCATATGACAATACATATGTCCAAATGACAAAAATTCTACTTATCTCTTAGGAGAAGGGGGTGGGGCATGGTCTCCTTGAATTTGCATGGGAACTTTAGGAAGGCAGAGGGGATCTATAATTGGATAATTTATAGAACAATATGGTTCTTAGGAGCCTAAGAAACTTTACAGATTCAACTATGTTCTGAGGCATCATGGGAGGTGTAATAAAATATAAAATCCCAGCCCAAAGGAGCATATTTTGATGAAGATTAATATAGTTTTAAACCCTTCTCCTCCCATTACAGAATCTCCACAATCTCTCCTCTGTGTCTTCCCATTCTTCCGTAATCATAAAAATTCATTTTACAAGCATGCATCACAGATATTCTAAGGAAAGGTAGAGGAGTGAGTCTGCTAATGTGACTTAACCTGCATGTAGATCCCCCCCTGCCCCTGAGATTCTGCATCTAGGGATCTTTTCATCTCATCTCTGGGCTCTTGGCATCTTGTGACATACAGTGCTTACCTATGAGTGCTGCAAAAATCTTAGATGGATTTAGACTTTCCTTATGTCTTGGCAGCAAAGATACCACAAAAACCAATAGATGCCTCTCTTTTGTTCAACATTAATAGATCAGACATATGTCCAAATGACAAAAATTCTACTTATCTCTTAGGAGAAGGGGGTGGGGCAAGTGCCCTGAAACTGAGGGTCATGTCATACCTAGGTCCCTCCTGGACTTTCATCCACAGGCGAGGAAGAGTAGCCTGTGTCCATGCCATGTAGAGAAACCTTGGCCCCTTCAGCTGGATGAGAAGAGCACATTCCAGTTTTGTTTTACTGCCCCCTTTTAGGCCTGCTCTAACAGTGCCTCATTCTATTTTTATATTAGACACTGTTTCTCTTCTTTATTGCCAGATGCCCTTATACTGTTGCTCACCAAATCCTCTAGCAACAGCTGTTCCACCAGCCCACTCTTCGCGGCATGCAGATCTAACGTGATTCACAATTAGTAAGAGTACCTAAGTGTGTTAGGAGCCTGCGGCGTGTGGGAGTGTATGTGTTCTGCGCTTCATACAGCATCCCAGGCATTGGCTCTAGAGTGTTCAGTCCTGGATGACTCCTCATTTCCTGGATACGGTGGCAAATCAACCTGAGAGTAAAACACTTCCCACCCAGTAGAAACACTGGGGGAGCCTAAAGTGCCTGGCGTCACATGCAGAGCTTCTACTTTCCCTAAATAAGGAAATAAGCAAAAGATTAAGGAAAAGATATTGGCACTGCGGTGTTGCCTAAAGTCCTGCTCCAGCTCCTGTGCTTTTCCATGTGGGCCAAAATGTAGAGCTGCTGGTCTTCCAGTTTTCCCAGGTGGGTTCCCTGTTGTCCCTCGTCTTCCATTCTTAGTTTAGATTTATCCGATTCCGAAAGTCTTCATTTAAGGACCCATTGGTCACGTTGTAGGTCACAGTACTAGGAGAGTAGATGACAGTCTTCTCTGTCTTCAAATCCAGGACTGTCCACGCCTGGGAGTAGTGCATCAATTCTTATCCAGGACATAGGAACAGACATTAGGTTTGTTCTTCAGGAGTTTAAAATGTAAAACATGTAAAATATGTTAAAAAACAAACAAAACGAGCCACAAACCCAGCACTTGATTTTGTATATAACCAGACAGCTCATGTAATAACAGCAAAGTAACATCTACCGAATACGCACTGTGTGTCAACACTGCTAACTGAATCCTCACAATAGGGTTATAATAACAGGTAGGTACTTTTTGCAGATGAGGGAAGTTTAAATACTTTGCCTAAGGTAGAAGGTAAGTGGTGGGGCCAACATTTTCGCTCAGCCTGACCCCAGGTCCCCCACATGTAATCCCTGCGATGCATTGCTCCCCTTGCACGGGGGCAGCGAGCATGCACTAAGTTTCCCACCTGATTTTAGTTTCTCAGGGTCCTGGTTTACATAGAGAAACTCGTGACCTCAGTTTAGTGGTTTCCGATTTCTTAAAAAATAAGGAGAACCAATAGAAAGATAAGAAGGTATAACCAAACCAAATATAAGAAACCACGAGGGAAAATAAATCAACATTGCAGTTGTGCAGCCTATCCTTCCCAGTGCTCCTTGAGTCTGTCCCCAAAATCAGATCCCAGAAGACACCTACAGAGCTGATATCCTGGGGACCCTGCAGCCTTCCTTGCGGATTGCTGACGCCCTGGCTTTAAGCCTGCCTTCTCCTCACCTCTCTGTTCGTCAGACCATCACAAGTTATTCTCAGTGGCCCTGGGCAAAATCCTATGACTGTTTCCAAGAGAAAATGGAAGCAGAAAATAAGAGAACAGAGAACAGCAGTAAATTCCATTATATCCTGAGTGTAAATATAATAATCTTTGCATGAATAAAGATATTTGCATTTCCAGTTTTATATTCTATAGTGCTTGGGTACTCTTTTTTGGAGCATTAGACGAACTATATATTTATGTTATAAAAATATAAAATTTTACAGAAAAATAATCTAGGACAATTTTCTAAAATTATCTCATAAGTAAAGAGAGATACCCAAAACTAAGGAAAGTATCACATTAAGTTAGAATTATATTAATAGAAGCCAGTTTGCACTCTAAATTTCTATTCTTAGATTCAACATTTTTTATGTGTCATTTTTCACCACTTTTTTGCCACTGACAAAAGGAAAACTGTTCAAAAATTAGCCCACACTTTTAGTGGAACAATAATTCCCTCACACTGCAATTTTGATTTACCTCTATCCCTGTGCGTTTTCTACAATCTCAAACAATCTCTTTGACTTTTTAGTATATACTTGGAGCACAATCAGTCATTATTATTCTGTGATTAGAATATTAATGAGATGGTTTTCCCCCAAAACCTGTCTGCTCCAGAGACAGTCTCTCCATTATTTGCCATTGTTTTTTCAGTGCAGAGAAAGTAAAGAACATCAGCCTTCAATTAATTATTCTCTTAGATGTGTCTTTAATACTGGGCTATTCAGCTTTGCTTTTCTTCTTCTGATATATATCCTTTCTTATCTGAGATAGAAGGATTTATTACAAGTCCCCCTTCCAGAAATGTTTAGGCATTTCCTTCTCTATATTTGAAAGTCAGGTGTATGGAGCAAGTACTTGGTTAACCCTGAAATGTAAAATTAATGCTTTAGCCCTAGCCGGTTTGGCTCAGTGGTCAGAGCGTTGGCCTGTGGACTGATGGGTCCTGGGTTCAATTACTGCCAAGGGCATGTACCTTGGTTGTAGGCTCAACCCCTGGCCCCAGTCAGGGCATGAACTGGAGGCAACCAATCGAGGTGTCTCTCACGTTGATGTTCCTCCCCCCCCAAAAAAAAGCAATGGAAAAAAACATCCTTGGGTGAGGATTTAAAAAAAAAAAAATGCTTTAAGATAAAATCCAAATCATAAAACAGTATGGGGTAATTTATTGGCTTGTAGTACTTATAGTTGGTCTTGGAGGTACAGAATAATCATCCTACAGCAAAAATAGAAAAAAAAAAGACCAAAACATTGATTTGTTTAGGAACCAAATTAACACTCAATTAATCAACACATATAAGAAGAATAAAGAATTGAAAAGTAAACAAATTCTTTAGGCATATTTAAACATTAACTCTAATGCCAATGTGGACCCACATGAAAAGTCTCAGTGTTTCCCAGTAAGAACTCATTTTCTCAATTTAATGATTTATTAAGAGGAAACCATGTCCCCAGACTTTAAGCCCTTTCAAAAGTCTGAGAAAACTCACTTAAAACATGATTATTCCTATTTTTAAAAACCAAAAAAACCAAAAACACCCATGATCATTCCAAGGCAGTCTCTTCCTGAAGGTATAGCATTCTTTACCTCCTAGCTTCTCCCTGCCCTTATATTATTTACCTTTTCTTTCCCATTTGTCTGTTGAAGTTATGATTTTATAATTTGAATGACTGGATGAACTCTCAACAGGTTCAAAAGAAGCATTAACAGTTGATTTCTCATCCTTTGTCTCTAGAGACTAAACTTTCAAATCTTTTCCCCATTCTGTTGGTGGCAATGCAGCCTCTCAGCTGGATTCTGTCAGTTTTCACAGAAGACCTGCCTCAATTTCCCACATGCTTTTTCCTAAGGGGGATGCTATTTGATTAAGGCCGGGGTGTCGTGATTTGTAATGTGCATTTGGGATATAACGCTTTTCTCCCAAAGTATTTTTCCTGCCCTCATCTTCACCTTGTTCTCAGCCCTAAATCTTTCAGAGACCAGGTTCTCCCATTCCCATTCTTTCCAAAGTTAGGGATCCTACTGCTGCCAGTGAGGGAATGACTTGCAATATTGCTCAGCTCTCTTTCCTCAGCTGTGGACTGGACATCCCTGCCCTCTTCCCACACCCAAGGCCATACCTCTAAAGGCCTGGAGACCTGTCTCACCAAGGTCTGTAAAGCTACTGCTCTTAGGGGCTCAGAGCTCTTGTGACTTAGGGTTGCCTTTTAATAGAATGATGAAGAAACTGGCCTGGGCTGAAAGTAGTGCCTAAAGAGTCCCTTCTGTCAATGATCAAGACACTTCAAAAGCCACCTTTGGATGCCATAGCACTTAGCCTTCCTGCCCCAGCTTCAGTTCATCCTGATGTATTTCAGTCCAACCCTGGAAACGACACCAACTTGTTTCTCCTACCAAGAGATGCCCTCAATAGCCATGGCTTCCAGAGAACCTGGGGTAATAGGCAGAGATCAGACAGACTGATTCACAGAAATCTTAAACTTTTTTGATCCCTTAAAATCTGCTGGCATGCCTCAAGCTCAGCTCCATTGAGTAGATTTTGATCAAGTTTATATAGGTCAAAACCTTTCTCTCCATTATAGCTTCTTAGTTTTCTTCCTGATGGACCAAGGGCAACGTCAGGAGGTGTGAGGTGTGAGTATGCTGCTATGGTGTTTGTTCTCAGTCTGGAGCTGTTTTTCCTCAGACCTCTGTCCAGTATCTTTTCTTTGGGTAGGGTCATAAGGCAAATGTCAGAAATCCTCAGAGGGATATGTGTTCCCATCACCTTTGCACCAGATATTCTTACAACCATACATGTTCTTAGTGTTTGGCATCAATAAATACTCAAATCACATAAATTATACAAGAAATAAAGAGAAAAGTGACAGCAAATGTTTCAAGACAAAGAGAACTCAGGTAACTCCTTGGTAACCCTTTTCACAAATAAGGGAACATAGAATGCCACAGGCTATGATAACATTGTCCAGAGAAGCACAAGGGTTGGGACCATAGACCAAGAGGGGCTGATGGCAAACCATGATTCTTTAATTGAGGTGCCCAGAACAGCTTGATACAATTCTACTTGTGTCCCTTGCACCCCTCTTTGAATCTCCTCAATACCCTACTCTTCACTATTTTCCCCACAGTGTGGGAAAGGTGGACACTCTCATCTCCATACTTTTTCCTGTCGTGTGAAGTGTCATGCTCTTCTCTGTGGCTGTAGGGACTGCCTTTTTTTTCTTACTGTGTCTACCATGGTATTGGGTGGGAGGGGATAAAGAAGGCCAGTTAGTGCAAAGCCTGAGGCTAAAGCCCAACTCAGCGTCTGAGCTATCAGAGGAGACTGCGACATACTGGGGAGACTCAAGGTCTGGGTTGGCCAAGAGGCCAGAGGCCAACCCCAGAGCTTGGGTCAAGAATGGAGATTACAGATGGGACCCACGGCAAGCATGAGAACATGGGGAAAGATTGGCCTCAGCTTGAGAGACCTGGACCTCCTTGCCCTGGTGCTCTCCATACCCCATTCCAGAAGCAGGAAGATTAGGAAGGTGGGGTTGAAGGTGAGGGTTACCAGATACATACAACTTATGAGGCAGACTTGGCCTCCCTGCCATATTTTTCTCAGGAGTGGGGAGTGGGACATTTCCCAAATCTGTGCAGCCTCTGACCTCTGACCTCTGCTTCTCCGAGAGCAGCACACCACCACCCTCTGGTCTCTTTCTTCAGTTTTGTAGACCTGAACCTCTGCCCTCAGTCCTCTCAATGCCTGTCATTTCTTTCTCCAGTTCTACCATGCCTGTGACCAGCCAGGAATTGTGGTTTTCTGCATCATGGACTATGATGTACTACAGTTTTGTGATTTCCTGGGCTCCTTAATGTCCGTGTGGGTCACTGTCATTGCCATGGCTCGTTTACAGCCTGTGGTCAAGCAGGTCAGTCCAGAATGGGCCCTGGGGGACAACCATAGCTGAAGTCCACTTGAAATCCATTCCCAACTTCTCCCTGAGGGCACTGCCCAGTGCCTCTCTCCACCCTGGCCCAGCCCCTGCAGTCCTCTTTCTCTAGGTGCTGTATTTGCTGGGGGCTATGCTGCTGTCAATGGCTCTGCAGCTTGACCGACATGGACTCTGGAACCTGCTTGGACCCAGTCTCTTCGCCCTGGGGATTTTGGCCACAGCCTGGGTAAGAGTGGGGAGAGCTGTGGGTGGGGCATCCCAATAGTACTTGGGTGCAGGGCCCTGGGTATCTGGTCCCCAATTTAAGATGAGCTCGGACCCTGCCACCATCACTGTTCTGCTCATGGTACCCATCCTAGTCTTAGAAGGTGCCTTCAGGTCACAACCATGGCTCAGGGGAAGCCTGAGAGTGACTGGCTCTGGCTTGGGTTCCAGGGCCTGGCATTCCTGAACCCCACTTCTCTGCCTTCCCTAGACAGTACGTAGCGTCCGCCGCCGGCACTGCTACCCACCCACGTGGCGCCGCTGGCTTTTCTACCTGTGCCCAGGCAGCCTTATTGCAGGCAGTGCCATCCTACTCTATGCTTTCGTGGAGACCCGAGACAACTACTTCTACATTCACAGCATTTGGCATATGCTCATCGCTGGCAGTGTGGGCTTCTTGCTGCCCCCTCGTGCCAAGACTGACCACAGGGTGCCATCTGGAGCCCGGGCCCGGGGCTGTGGTTACCAGCTATGCATCAATGAGCAGGAGGAACTGGGCCTTGTGGGCCCAGGAGGGGCCCCTGTCAGCAGTATCTGTACCAGCTGAGAGGGGCTTTGGGCCTGGCCCTTGGGGAACATGAATCCTTCCCAGGGGCAGAGAGCCCTTCCTGGGGTTTTCCCAGGCAGCGTGGAGCCTTCCCAGGGATGAAAGACAAGTTGTGTTTCTTGAGGACTTGGCCTTTCTTGACATGGAATCTTCCAGGGACCTGGCATACTTCCTGAGGGCCTGGAGTCATCCTGCATCCACGGAGTCCTTCAGAACTATAGCCTGTGCAGGGCCACAGAGCCCTTTCAGGACCAAGCAGTCCCTCCTAGGGTGTGGAGCCCCTCCCAGGGATGTGGAGCCTTCCTGAGGACATAGGTTCCTTCCTGGGAAGACAAAGCCCTCCCAGGACATGTCATCATTCCTGAGGAAGTGGAGGTCATTTTGGGGAAACTGAGTCTCCACATCTTCCCAGCAGCTCAGCAACTCTGGCCTCAGGCCTCCTTCTCAGAAGCAGATTCTGGGCTGTGCTACGCTGGGAGGGGAACTGCAGGACAGATGGGGCTGGGACTGGGGCTGGTATTCTGAGCTGATGCAGGTGGAGTCTGGTGTCTCTCCAATGAAGCATTTGCTGGTTCCATTCTGCCTTTTTTTCTGGGGCCAAAGGAGTGGGGAGGGGAGGGAAAGAGTGACCATGAGGAGATCAGCAGGGGTGATGGGAACCCAGCTGGAGTGAGCTGCTGGAGCTACTGCCTGAGGCTTTAGTCCCCTTGTGTTAGGCTGCTGCAGCTGGGAACAGGGAGTTGTGGGTGAGTGAGTGAGTGTGAGTGTGTGTGCGCCCAATAGTTTAAATCAGTGAAACAGATCTCCCCTGTGGCAGCCACACCCAACAGCAAAGGAAGTTAAGGTCCCAGGAAACTGGACTAGTGAGTACAAATCTCAAATGTGCAAGAAATATCCCAAGAATATAACTTCTGTTTTGAGCCCCATTTTGCCTGAGTGCTAGACATATAATCCTTTGTCAATTTGGAATTTCTTCTCTTTCCACAAGAGTCAAAGCTGAGTCCCAAGGGTCTTATATAATCAAAGATGTTGGGAGAGTGTTCTTTCTGGTCGCCACAGACCATACGGCACCCACCCCCTGAGATTTCCCTTGTTCCACCTGGTCCCCGGTCAGGAAAGCACTAGAACACAGTACAGTGCCTAGCCTGGTACGTGATGGGTCCCGTACATGTTAGCTAAAGATCAAGAAGTGCTTGGGCATGAGGAGGAACTGCAAGGGAGAGACACAGAGGAAGGAAAGACTGATATTTATTGGGCAATTGAGAATAATTCAGTGTGCCTGGGCGGGAGAGGGTGTGTGGGTGGAGTGGGGTGAATGCAGGCAGCCAGTAATGAGGTTGGACCTATAGGTGGGGTCTGGTTTTTCTCCTGTGGGAAATGAGCCACTGGAGAGGTTAAGCAGGAGAGTAGCATGAACAGATTGGTGTTTTGTTTTCGTTTTTATAGATTAGTGTTTTGGTGGCTCATGCAGAGATGGGTTTTGGAGAGAGTTTGGACGATAAAAGTCCAGTGGCACCTGCACTGCAATATTTAAGAAGCAGGTGGGAAGGCTTAAGGCAGCGTCCGTGAAAAGGAGTGGACTGATTTAGGAGCTATTGTGAGGTGGATTCTGTAGGACCTAGTGACTGATTAGATGTAGGGAGTAATGAGGGATGAGAGGAAGCCTGTGACTGACATGTTCCTGGTGTGGTGATTTGTGGGAGCTGGTGGCCCACCTTTGGAGGGCAGAATGATGAGTTCAGTTTGCATAGTTTGAGGGGTCTGTGGGGTTCCTCTGGGGAGAAGCCCAGCAAAAAGACCATGCTGGGCAGGGCAGCTGAACCAGGTCTGGAACCCTGGTCTCCTGGCCCCAAAACAGGGTCCTTGGTTATCTCCTGACTTGTCTCAGTAGGTGAGAAGCCGAAGATGCCAACAACCGAAGCCTTCTGGAAATACAGGGCTTTGGCCAACAGATACTGCGGCTCCTCACTTGTGTCTGTCTACACAATGCTCAGCAGCATGCCGGCTCAATCCCCAGATGGTGACATTGTGAGGGCTTCCGAGTGATGATTCAGTTCAGTGAAACTTCTATAGGGAAATCTCTGTGGGAGCTGCAGAGACGAGCCAGACCTGGGTGAATCCTGACCTCAAAAAGCTCACGTGGTGGTGAAATACCATGAAGGCAAAGCAGAATGGAATAGATGCCGAGTGAAATGTTCCAACAAGGTGCTGTGGGATGAAAGGAAAGAGAACACTTTCCAAGTGCATTGGGAAAGGATGCGTGAATGAGATGAGATGGTGTCTAAGATAGTCCTGGTCTCACCAGAGAACAGCATGAACAGGAGATGGTGTGGGTGGTACAGATAATGTAGTGAGGGGTGGCGTGTGAAGGGGTTAGTGGAGCATCAGACTGAAGACGCAGGGTGTGTGTGTGTGTGTGCGCACATGTGCGTGCGCATGTGCCTGGATTCTGGAGGGCCTGAGGACTCAGCTGAAGATTTCGGACTTCACACTGTGGTAGTGGGGAGCTATCAAATGTTCCTGATCAGAAGAATGATGAATTGGGGTTTGACCTAAATAGCACACCACTCTGAGTGATACAGGGATTTATGAAGGAACCTATAGAATTGTGGGAGCACTTAGAGAAGTTTATGCAAAGCTGTTACCTCTGCATCTGGTGTTGGACCCGAAGTCATTGTGGGTACCTAGGCTGGTGGGGATGAAGTGGGGGAGGGTAAGGGCACACTAGCACCTGGGAGAACAAGCTGGAACCTGTGTCTGGCCCTCACTGCCCTTAATCTCAGTGCTACTTGTGACCTGCATGAGAAGCTGGCACTCTTTGCCATGGAGCTGCAGGTGGCACAGGACTCAGAACAGCTGAGTGGGACTTGGAGGGGCTGCACTAACAACGAGCTGAGCCAGCAGCTCAGCGACAGCACGAGAGTGCTCCTGCAGGGTCTGCTGCTGCGTCAGTGTTGCCTTCCAAATCTCATGCAAATTTTCACCCTAACCCAGAACCATCTAGGGAAGGAAATTCTGGGAGGCACAGCACAAAGCCACCACGAGTGAGCTAATGGGAGCTTTCCTGGGATGACTAACCTGGCATCAGCCAGTGAAGGACGGATGGTCAGAGAAAAGGAAGGCAACTCTCTGGTAGCTTTTGGGGTGACGGTGGGATAGTGTGGCAGTCAGCAGGCTGTTCACAGCTTTCTCAGTCCTCCTCACCCCAGACATGTGGCAGGCGTGCCTCCCCTCCCCCTTGACGTTCACTGTGGCCATGTGCCTTGTAATGGCCAGTAAAATGTAAGTGGAAGTCACATGCCCCTTCTGAGTGGAAGAGTGAAGAGTCACAATCAGTGCAGGCCTTGTCATTTTCCCTTTTCCTTCTGTTGTGGTCACCAGGAATGATCCAGTAGTTGCTCTGTTATCCTGAGTCCCAGAGGGGTGAAGACTACAATACAGAGCAGACCCCCCCTCCACCCCCCAGCCAACCTCTAGCATGAGAGAGAAATAAACCTTTGTGGTTCAAAGTCACTGAAATTTTGAAGTTCTTGCCACAATATAACCTAGGCTCTCCTGCTAGGAGAACAACAGGAAAGGCAGGGCATTTTCCTGGAGAGCAGATTTCCTCCCAGAAGAGCTACGGCAGCAGCTTTTACCTCCGCGTTTCTCAGGCTGTAGATAATGGGGTTCAGTGAGGGTGTCACGACCCCATAGAACAACGCAATAATCTTATCCAAGTTAGGGTCCTTGGCCTTGGGCTTGAAGTACATGAAAGAGATAGTCCCATAGAAAATCACTACCACTGTGAGGTGGGCAGAGCAGGTGGAGAAGGCTTTGCGCCTGCCTGCAGCAGAGGGCACCCTGAGGATGGCAGCGAGGATGAAGATGTAGGACAGACAGATGAGCAGGAGCGGGGCCAGTGACAGGACGGCTGTGGCCACCATTAAAAGCAGCGCGTTGAGAGAGATGTCCCCGCAGGCCAGTTTCAGCACTGCCAAGATCTCACAGAAAAAGTGGTTAATGACATTGTGGCCACAGAAGGGGAGGCCCCAGGTGACAACGGACTGCAGCAGTGAGTTAGCCAAGCCTGCGCCCCAGCTCAGCACTGCCATCCGCACGCACATCTGCTCACTCATGAGCTCTGGGTACCTGAGCGGCTGGCAGATAGCTACATAACGGTCATATGCCATCACGGCCAAGAGCACGCACTCCGTGGAGCCCAGCGCCAGGGTCAGGTACATCTGCAGGGCACAGCCAGGGAAGGAGATGGAAGTCCTTTGGACCTCCAGGAAGCTGACCAGCATGAAAGGCACAATGGAGGATGTGCCACAGATGTCCATGAGAGAGAGGTTGCTGAGGAAGAAGTACATGGGGCTGTGCAGGCGGGGATCCAGCATGCTCAGCCCCATGAGGAGGGCGTTCCCCAGCACATTCACGGAGTAGATGCCCAGGCAGAGCACAAACAGGACAATCTCTATGTTATGGTGGCCGCACAGCCCCAGCAGGATATATTCTGTCACAGCTGTCTGGTTGGCCTCGCCCATCTCATTTTCCTTCCTTTCAAATCTGGACCACACAAGTATTGGAAAAAGCTCTGGCTGGCCTGAGAGCCAAGCAACCTGAATGTGTGCTCTGGGGCAGGTCAGCCCCACCTCTGGAATTTAGTTTCATCATATATATAATGAGAGATTTAGACTTAAGGTCTGCAAGCTGGCCTTCTGGGCTCTGCAGTTCTGACTTCCCTAGGGGATTTGAGACACGTTCTAGTCCATTAGGTTCTTTGTCATTCCCCGAAGGGCAGGCTCAGGAGACAATAGAGTAGGATTAGAGTTTGACACCCTCCTTTGGAATTTAGAGCTCTTGACTATTAAAAGGAAGCATGGTTACTAGGTTATAACTTCATATGGCTGAATCATGCCTACAGTATTTCAGATTCATATACTGCTGAATATTTTTTTGAATGCTTACTTTGTATTGTCTTGTTTAGGAGTTGTGGCTCAGCAGTAAGAAAATTAAGTGGACAGAAAGATGCCACACCTATCACCAGGGCTTCCCTTCTTCCCTGGGTTAGGTGAGATGAGCTCTGTCAGGCAGATGGATGGTACTCACCTAAAGGTCAAACATTTCCACTCCACAGGGTGTGTAAACCTGATTTCTGGTCATCACTCCCTAAGGAATCATAGACCATCCGTTGATTTTTATAACAACACACAAGAACATACATATCCCAGTAGAGCCACTGGTCACAGGATTGAATCCTAGTCACGAAAGCCGAGTGACTCTGTCTTGACCTCCCTATTGCTTTTTAGCATAGATGATATTGGCACTTTTGTCACACAAGGAGGGAAGATCAGGATCCAGTCTGGCAGAGGTGTTGTCAGCCATTGACTAGCTTTATACAGGGAGGGGTGGGAAGAGGCCGCAGTTTTCTCCCAGGTGGCTTTCATTGCTGCTCTGAGCTGGTCTCACTGTCTCCTTGGGAAATGCCAGGGTCAGGTATTCACAGGATGAAGCTGAAATGTCCCCAGGCACAGCAGTTTCGTTAGATGGGAAAGCTGTCTTATGACCCAGGTGACCTCTGGTCTAAAGGAGAAATAGGAGCTGAGTGTAACTCTTATCATTCAGAAGATATAATCACCCCCTCCCTCAGCCCCTTCACTCTGGATTGACTGTAAGGCCAATGTCCTGTGACAGCACTGGAGCCCTGGGTACCTTTAGGGATGGATTTTCCCCTCATTCTTCCTCCTTTATTGCATTTACCTGTTTGTGGGGCCAGAGGGCTCACCCTCTCTGAATAAACCTTGTCTTTTCCCAGTGCTACATCTTTGCCTAAGAATTTCCCTTTTGTAGCATGTCCTCCCTCCCTTCCCCAGGAGGAATTCCGGCTCATTCGTCAGAGCCCAGCTCAATCTCTCCTTTCTTCTCCCTCCTGCTCCTGCAGTTACCTGCTCTCTTCTGATGCTTTTAGCCATCCTTCTGTGTTCTTGTATAGTGTGCTCTGTACTGTCTCCCCTACTACAGTTGAGAGCAGGACTCTGTCTTCTTACTTTCAGCACTTCTTACAGCAGAGTGCTGCCAAGGGCAGTCACTCAACAGATAAACAATGCATGATTCAAAAAAACCTAGTTTAAGAGGAACCCAAAGAGGCCCCACAGAGACACATCATAATTAAAACACCAAAGGTTAAAGGCAAAGAGAGAATCTTAAAAGCAGCAAGAGAAAAGCAATTAGTTACCTACAAGGGAGCACCCATATGACTGTCAGCTGATTTCTCAACAGAAACTTTGTAGGCCAGAAGGGAGTGGCAAGAAATATTCAAAGTGATGAAAAGCAAGAACCTACAACCAAGATTACTCTACCCAGCAAAGCTGTCATTTAGAACTGAAGGTCAGATAAAGAGCTTCACAAATAAGAAAAAGCTAAAGGAGTTCATCACCACCAGACCAGTACTACATGAAATGTTGAAGGGTCTTCTTTAAGAAAAAGCTGATGAACAAAAGAATCTGACAAAATAGACTCAGAGACATTGAAGCATGCAACAGATGGTCATATCTCAGAGGGAAGAGGGAAGGGGGGTGAGGGGTGGGAAGAGATTAACCAAAGAAATTATATGCATAGATGCATAACCCATGGACACGGGCAATAATGGTGTGAAGGCCTGGGGAGAGGGTGGGAGCGAGATGGAAGGGGTCAATGGGGGGAAAAATGAGACACCTATAATATTTTCAATAATAAAAATAAATGAAAAAAGAAAAACAAAAAAAACCCCACCTAACTTTGTGTCCAGCTTCAGCACTAACTAGTTGTGTGATATTGACCAAATCACATGATCTCTCTGAGACTCAGTTGCCTTTTGAGAAATGGGGATGCTGTATAGCTCAGATGAAACATACATGTGAAGGTGCTGGTGAGCCACCCAGCACTAACATGTTGTTACTGAGGTTCTAGATCAAAGGATTTGTCTCTTCAGCCGCAAGGCACATGCTGGGCTGTGCTTGACACCTCTGGGACAAGAGCTGTGAGGTTACTGACAGCTTTCTCTACAATATGGGCACAGAACGGGACATCAGGGTGCAGTTGTTATTTCCTCTGTGATTCAGTTAGGATGAGCTACATTTTGCTGCGGTAACATACAACCTCATATTTTATTGGTTTACCATGACAAAGGTTTCTTTCTTTCTCATGCTACATCTCCATTGTAGGTTTCAGGGGGCTCTGTTTCATGTCGTCCTCCTCAGAGACCCTGCCATGACCTCTTCTGTCCCCAGAGCCTGTGCTAGTTTTCCCTCCTCCAGCCTGAATCAGGGTGATTGCTAAGGAAGTTCCTGGAACACATGGGCAGATGATTAATCTGGGTCAGTAACTGACCTTAAATCTTATCTGTGCAGAGTTTCTCTTGCTAAGATTTGGTGTAAAGATAAAGAATTGCCTGAGTGTGATGGCTCATTCATTCACTCATTCAGTGGATATTTGTTGAGCACCTATATGTGCAGAAAATGCAGACTTCTGCACTAACAGAGGTCACACTCATTCCCTTTCTCTCTCGGTGACCTTGGACACATCCCTTCCTCTCTCTGGGCTTTAAAAACCTCTGAGATTCTTTTTGAGTCTGGGATATAAAGACAAAGTAAAACCTGAAATCTGGAAAGAAGTGAAAAGAAAGCATCTTTTTTTTCCCCTAGGTTATGACTTCATGTGGCTGGATTGTGCCACAGTATTTCAGATTCAAAGATAAGGACTTGGACTTTGTTGGGCGCGTTGCTACAAAAAGACCTATGTTGACCTCAAATTATGACTGTGGACATGGATGTGGGGGTGTTTTCAAGCAGTGAAAGGTGACCCTGCATCTCTCTTCCTCATCTTTGTCTCTAACAGAAAGGCCACGTAGAAATGGCAGAGGCACTTGAGAGCTTTTGTGATCAGGCTTGACCTGCCCTCCTGCCTCACTCCCCTCTATGTCTCTCACCAGACACTCCCCATTAATGGACAAATACCCCACAACTGTCTCATCCTTCTTCTCATACTCTGTCTTCATCCCGCTGTGGCCTTTCTCTTCCACTTTCCCTTAAAGCTCAGCTCCCACACGTCCTCTGTGCGGCCTTCTCAGATGCCTCCATAGAATTCACCACCCCAACAACATGACGCCCACACAGCTGCTACCCCGGGGACTCATCTCTGCCACGCAGGAGGTGTTGGTGACTGTCATCTACTGCTATTCTTCTGCCCCAAACCCAGATCCCAGAAGCCTTGCCCGAGACTGCCTCTCCCTCCCAATGCACCCCCCAGCAGAAGGATGAGCTCTTGTAACTGCTGGGAGAAGAGCCGTGGGGGTGCCAGTCCCCTACCTATAGTAACAGCTGCTTTCTGAAGAGCTAAATCACAAGAAGAGTGGGTTTCCTCACAATTTAAGAGTCTGACAATAGCATATTCATGGAAATTAGGACCAGCCCATGAGGCCACAGGCTAATGGCCCCAAACAAATAAGTCTGTGTTGAGAAAATACCATGCTGCCAGGCCACTGACAGCTTTGACTCTGCAACATGGGCACAGAATTGGACATCAGGGTGCAGCTGCTGTTTCCTTTGTGATTCAGTTAAGATGAGCTAGGTTTTACTGCAGTAACATACAACCTCATAATTTCAGTGGCTTAGCATGGCAAAGGTTTATTTCTTTCTCACACTACATCTCCCTTGTAGGATTCTAGGGAGCTCTGTTCCATGTCTCCTCCTCAGAGACCCGGCTGATGGAGGCTCCTCCAACTGGGACATCACCAGTTCTTATGACTTGGGAAGCACACACTAGAGCATCTCACACCAGCAGTTAAATGCTCTGACCCAGTAGTGACACATGTCACATCTGCCCACAACCTGTTGGCCCTGTGTAATCCTACTGCATGCCCAGGAGGAGGAGAACTGGAAATATAGCTGAGTATTTGGGTGTGATGGCTTTCACAATACACTAAAAAAACCACTGTGCCTATCGGTCAGTGTTTCACACTCTGTCATGTCCCGGTTCACAGAGAGAGAGGAATGTCTCTGAGAATAATTGTCTAATTCCAGTCCCCAGATTCACACCTCCTGAGAGGCAGGGTGATGCCATGAACTGGACTGGGAGTGAGGGAACTGGGTTTGATTCTTGCCTTTCTTCTGATTCTGCTATATGACCTTGGTCAAATGTCTCCTCTTGTGAAAAGGAACTATTCAATTAGGCGGTCTCTGGTACTCCGTAACCTCCAAAACATTTCCTCACATCCTTTAGCAACTTCCAACCCTGAAGTCTAACAGTAACCCTGAAGGGTTACTTTTCAAGGTAAATAGCATATCAATTTCATTGGTTGATAAATTGAGTATGAAGCATTTAATACTTAATTTAGGCTTCACAAATTATTTTAAAAGAAAGGTCAGTGACTCAACAAGATAAAAACTTCTGTTCCAGTTTTGCTGACATGCCTGGGTCTGGGATTCCTGCCTCACCACCTCCTTGCTGTGTAGCAGAGCAGGTGAGTGTGGCTTTCGAGTCAGACTGACCAGGGCCCAAGTCCCAGTCTGGCCACTCACTGACAGTTTCCTCAACCTCACCTTCCCTACCTGTAATATGGAGATGGAAATAATATTTCCTTGTGGGGTTATTGTGGGGATCCAGTGAGATGATGCATGCGAAGATCTCAGCACAGAGCCTGGCTCATGGTAAGGAATCAGTCAGTGGTAGCTGAATTTATTAGTATTATGCCCTTTTCCCCAAGCAGGTATTCTGGTTTTCACATGTTTAAAAAAGATTTAATGAGAATAGTCAACATGCTATGGATTCTCCTTACCTTCTACCTCTCAGCCCAGTGGCATTAGTGCATGCAGGTAGCTGGAGCGGGCTGCCAGGTGAGCTAGTCCGAGAGCAGAGCTGGGAAGTGCCCAGTTCATTACCAGCAGACACACTGTGCTGGGATGGGCCAGGGCCGTGCCCATGAGGACCAGCCTCTTGGTACCCTGCCACGTAGACAACATGCCTGGGCCCTGCCTTCAGGGACTTCGCAGTCCCTGCCCAATTTAAAGTTCAAACTCTGCAACTACACAAGTTTGCAGGTTCACCAGCTGTGGGGCTTCAGAGACCCCGGGTTCCTTGTGCTGTCCCAGGAGGGCCTGGCTGGGGTGAGATGGACACAAGAGAGACACTGTACAGAGACTCTGAAGACGGATCTCACTGCAGTCCTGCCCTTTGGATCTGAGGCTTGGGGACCATGACTCCCTTGCCCTAGACCTGGGTGTATTGGTCTGTGCAACGGGCTGTCTCCTTCCAGGATTGTTGTAAGGACCTGGGTTCATGGAAGTTTAAGGAAAGCGAATTGCTCTATAGGGTATGAGACCCCAAGCACTTGTGAGGGATCATTAATTCCGAGATTTAGTCAGGTGCATGAGTTTCTACAGGTTTCTTTTTCCCTTTCCCTTCCCATTTCCTTCTCTTTCCTTTCCTATTTCCTTTCCGCAATAAAAAATAACTTGACACAGTTTAGGGACTAAAAAAAAAGCCTTAAATAAAGCAACAACTGCTGTAAAATTTTCCATTAGATTATAATTTGGCTTTTGGAATTTTCATCAAGAACACAAGTCATGATTGTGATAATTTGTTTTCTTTCTTTTTCTTTTTTTTAAATTTATTTTTAAAAATTTTTATTGAATTTATTGGGGTGACATTGTTGACAACATAGATAGACCTGAAGAGCATTATACTAAGTGAAATAAGCCAGTCAGAGAAAGACAAATACCATATGGCCACTTTCTAATTGCTCATAGAACAGCACTCTCTTGCAATTAACATTGTGAGCATTTTCCATCATCGAATATTTGTCAAAAAAATAAGATTTCTAATGGCTATATCACATTCTATCATTGGATTCCACCAGAATTTATTTAAACATTCTTCTATGGTTGGACATTGAGATTCTGACAATTTTTTGTTACTCTAAATAAGGCCACGATTAATATTCTTCTACATAATTCTTTGTGCCTCTACTTGTCTTCTTCCTAGAAGTAGAGGTGTTGGGTGAAAGGGTGAGTTTTGAAGTCTCTTGATTCAATTCCAACTAACTTTTCAGGAAATTCATATCAATTTACTCCCATCCCCACCAGCAGTATATGTCATTACCTACTTCAATGCACCTTAATTAACAATAGACACTTAAAAAGTCTCTACCAATTTCATGGGTGATGAATTGTGTATAATCAGTGGCCTCTCTAAAAGTTAACAAAAGAAATCCAATGCCCACAGGATGAAGTCCAAACTCCTACAGTGTCATCAAAGGCTCAGCAGAAAGTCCTGGCTGGCAGCCTTCCCTCTGGCTTGGTCAAGAGGGTTGAGGTGTGGGGAGGGGGGTGCTTCTCTCCTCTGTGCCTCTGTTCTGACCAACAGAGGCAGAAAGAGGGACAGAGGGGAACTGAGGACTCAAGCAAGGGCTGTGCTTACCTGCTTGGAGGCCAAGACCAGCTCTCCCGTCATACAGATGATACTATTGGGCCAGAGGGGGCAGGGAACGGAGATGCTGTGAGAGTCTCTGTCCACTTCTACTGTGCTCATTAGCTCTCAGAAAGGAAAACTGGGAAGAGGCTGAGCACCAGGAAGAGTCAGCTATGGCAGGATCCCGGGGGGTGGGGTGAAGAGCGGTAGAGCAGGACTCCCCAAAGCCAGGTGAGGCCTGGATGCCGCACAGGGAGGTACTGGAAGCTGCTGCTAACGGAAGATGAGGCCCTGGGCTGCTCCAGGTGACTGGTGTCCTGGCGCCTGGGCAGATCTGGAAATCTTGGACTTGGGGCCTCATCACTGCCTCTCCTCTCCTCTCCTCTCCCAGGGGCACTGAGCCTTGCCTGCCATCTGTGCACTCATCTCAGCTCTGCTCAGATTTGGGAAGAACCCCAGGCTCTGCCATTATTATTCCTATATTGACATGTTCATTTGTTTATTGCGGAAGCCTGTGTGGGGCCTGGGGTCGGGCAGGGCTGGACTTTGGGAAATAGAGGAATTCAACACTCCCTGCTCTTAACAGTAACATGAAAAAAGAGCAGGAGGAGCACAGTGCGAGGAGCAAAGGGCGGCAGCTTCCTGGTGGAGGTGGCTTTTGTGCTGGGCCTTGAGGGTCAGGCAGTCCTTTTACACGAGGAGTTGTGTGCTGGGTCGGGGCTGCTTTGTGGGGAGAACCAAGAAGAGCACGGAGCTGGGCAACACGAGGCCCCCACCTGCCTGGTGTGTGGCTGTCAGGAGGGGGGTGTGGGGCCAGCAGGGCCAGCTTATAAGGGCCTCGCTGCCTGCTGAAGAGGTTGCACTTTGTTCTGAGAGCAGGGGAAGCCATTTAGGGGTTTTAATCAGGAGAGTGACACGATCACGTGCTTTTTGAAATGACCCCGCTGGCTGCCCCTCGGAGGACAGATCGGAAGGAGGAGGAAGACTAGAATCTGGAGGCTGCGGGAGGCCACCAGAAGGCCACCGGGAGGCCACCGGGGGGCCGGAGCAAACACGCAGGGAGCGCTGCTGGGCGCCCGGGAAGCAGCAGCGCGGCCACTGGGGGCTGTTCTGCGCTCTTGGCGGGCTCGGTGCTGCCTTCCTGGGACGAAGATTCCAGAAACCCAGCCCTGCGCCCCAGCCGTCCTCGTCTCTCGGGCTGACCCGCGGGCCCCCCTCACCCGGAGGCCCGCCGCCTGCCCCACACCTTCCTGGCGGCCTCCCTCACCTCCTGGTTCCTCAGGCTGTAGATGACGGGGTTCAGCATGGGCGTGACCACGGCGTAGAGGACCGTGAAGGCCTCGTCAGAGACGCGGGCCTCCTGGCGCTTGGGCCTCATATACATGAAGATGACGGTGCCGTAGAAAAGCAGCACGGCAGCCAGGTGCGCCGAGCAGGTGGAGAAGGCTCTGCGGCGCCCGGCCGCCGACGGCACCCTCAGGACGGCGGCCAGGATGAGCGCGTAGGACAGGCCGATGAGCGCCAGGGGCACCGGCAGCAGCAGGACAGCGCCCACCAGCAGGAAGGCCTCGCTGACCGACGTGTCGCCGCAGGCCAGCTTCAGCACGGCCAGGATCTCGCAGGTGAAGTGATTGACCACGTGGTGGCCACAGAAGGGCAGCCTCATGGCCATGACCGTCTCAGCCACTGACTTGAAGAGACAGAGGACCCAGGCGGCTCCCGCCAGCAGCACGCAGAGTCGGTGGCTCATGAGCACCGGGTACCTGAGTGGCCGGCAGATGGCCAGGTAGCGATCGTAGGCCATGACAGCCAGCAGCAGACACTCTGTGGAGCCCATGGACAGGCTCAGGCACATCTGGATCGCGCAGCCAATAAAGGAGATGGTCTTCCAGGCCGACAGGAGGTGGACCAGCATCAGGGGCACAAAGGTGGACGTGTAGCAGATGTCCAGGATGGAGAGGTTGCCCAGGAAGAAGTACATGGGCGTGTGCAGACGGACGTCCCGCACGCTCACCGCTATGATGGCCGCGTTCCCCAGCAGAGTCACCAGGTACATGGCCAAGCACAGAGGGAAGAGCAGGCGCTCCAGGGCCGGGTAGCCGGAGAATCCTTTCAGAAAGAACTCAGAGCCCTCGGTCCCGTTGACCAGCTCCATCCTTCAGGGTTCTGGGGAAACACACGGCTGCGATGGGCGGAAAGAACGTGTGGGATGGCGGGGAGCCCCCAGAGCCTCTTTCGGGATGAGTGTGTGTCCAGCTCTGACACACACTCTCTCTGTGACTTTGGGCAATCCCCGTACCTCTAGGCTGCAATTTATCAATGTGAAAAATGATTTAAATCAGCATTTCACTGAGAGAGTGTTAATGGAAATGTTAGTAGGCAAACTGAAAAGTCAAATTGAGACAACGCTGGATTAATCAAAAATAAATAAAGCTCTACTACAGGAATTCTCAGAGCCTTTAATATACCAATGTGATTTGTGACTTTCCAAAAGCCATGCAGAACATGTAATTCCCAAACTTATTTGACCACAATTTTCCTTTTACAGAGCACCCATCAACCTAGTGTAGATAAATATTCAATGGGCTGGACCAGAGATCCTCATATGCACCAGAATCACCTGGAAAGTTTGTTAAAACACATTGCTGGGCTTCTTCCCCAGAGTTCCTGACTCACTAGGTCTGGGTGATCTGCTGCTGTTGGACAAGGTACCACACTTTGAGAACCAATGTGCTAGCCGGTGTCTGAGGGTCCTCCTGATTTAAGGAAGCCTCTAGCCATTGCTTTACACTGTTCCCACTATGGGAATGCTCTTCTCCTTTTCCCTTAGCCTACAGAAATCTGATTTGTCTCTCAGGTCAGCTCGGGTCTCCATGCATGAAGCACACCCTGAGCCTTGCACTGGAGGTGTTGCTGGCCTCTGAACTCAGTGGGCTCGTTCACCTGCCCCTTCACAAGGCCTGCTTCATCAGCTACTCTGTGTGAATTGACCTTCAGAATCTGCTTTTATCATGGCCCTTTGAGCTAAAATTCTTAGCTCAGCCCCAAACCTATTTTCTCTGGGACTGAGCCTAAGCTTCTTTGACCTCATGAATTCCTAGGGCATCAGCACAGAAAGTACCCTGAGAGGTCAACTCGTGGGATCTCCCATTGTTCGGGTGGGGAAACTGAGGTCACAATGCAGGTCCCTGGCAAGGTGAATCTAGAACCCAGTCCTCCCAGCACTGTGACACCTACACCATGCTCAGAGCATATTTTGCTTCTGTCAAGCCCCAAATGTTGGTGGTTCTTTTCCTGTACTAGATGGATGTCTTTCTCTGATGTCCTCCCTACAATCTTCTCACTGGGAAGGAGCATGATTCAGTCTCTCCTTAGTGTTTCAAGTGCTTGGCGTGGTGTCAATAAACCCATGGGACATGCTGCCCAAGCCTGGGTCTGGGCTGAGCACCAGTTCCTGGCAGTGATTCCCTTGCACGAGACGATTTAGTCTTCCCCTGTTCATTCCTTCTAGAATCGAGAAGTGATTGAGTTCCTACCACACGCCAGACATTGTACTAGGCATTAGGGGAACAACTGAGGACACATGCTCCCAGGTCACTGAATCCAAACCATTCCCAGGTAGAAATCCTTTCCAATTTCTATGCCTTGCCTATCCTGCTTCTGTTTGCAAGCCTCTAGTGACAGGAAGCCCATTACTCCCATAGACACATTTTTATGCAGAGTCCAGAGCTCTGGGCCCTCCTTCAGGGGGTAAGGGGTCATTTCTGTAGTAAGGAGGGCACTGACCTAGCTCTGGGACTTCAGATAGAAGGTCTTGGCCCAGCTTGATTGTGTATAGAGACACTGCGGGCTCGGGGGAGTATGAGCTTTGAGCTTCCTCCAAGACTCAGCTGGGAAACTCTGAGGCTGGGTTCCTGGAGGGGCTCCCTCTCAGCAGAGTGTCAACAGCAGCAGGCACGGAGCCAGGGCTGGCCGAAGTACAGAGGTGGCATTGTGCTTTCCTGCAGCCCCTGTGACCACAGGCTCCCTTTATATGGTTCCATACAGTAAATTTATACTATAATTTATCCCCTAAATACTAGCAAACATCTGCAGCCATTGGCAAACACATACACTCACATAGGGCCAACATATATGCACCCAGCTACATGTGTATGCACAAAAACCTGTTTCACACCCAGATACACACATATGTGCCTAGGAGTCTACATGCACACATAGGCTCATGTGTGTACATGAACAGTCATTCACATGAGCGTGTGCATATGTAGCAGGCACTCTCACCTTGCCCTCTCTTACACACACTGCACACGCACGCACACACAGAGAAGCAGTCCTACAGACCCTTGGACCTGGGGCCAGGGTGTCAGAGGACTGGCAGGACTGCTTCTCCCTGGGAGGAGGTTCGTGGAAACCAGGCCGGGGCCATGGACGTGTCACTAGAGAAGGCAGCCCTGAAGGTGGGGAGCATACTCTACCCAGGATGAGCCGGCAGGTCAAAGGAACCTCAGAATAGGGACAAGGTCACCAGACCAGCTGAGGGTCTTGTCTGCTTCGCAGTGTGTGTGCTGAGGATCGGAGCCTCCCTGCTCTACTGTCCCTCCTTCAGCTGGGGGACGGGGCCTGCGGGGAGAAGGGAGCAGAGAGGATGTGGAGCTCTGGCTCCCAAAGCAAGCAGGGGACTTTGTCTGCAGAGCCCACGGTGTCCTTTCTGCCTTCACTTCTCTCTCCTGGCTATCGAAAATCAGTTCAAATGCCACCTCCCCCAGGGAACCTTTCTTCACTCTCTCCTTTGTGCCCCACAGGCCTCTAGGATGGCTCTCACCTTTCTCCCGAACTTTCTGCCTGTTGCCTATCCCTGCCAGCCCACAGGGATGCCACCACCCTCTTTTTCTCACCCAGGTCCTAAAGGCTAAGTTCAAGCTCCCAGCATGGCCACAGCCAACTTCTTCCTGTCTTGTTGTGACTTCTTGGGCCTACGACAAATTGGGAGTGAGCAGGCTGCCAAATGTGAGCTGTTCTTAGCTTACATGACACCACAGAGCTGGGAGGGGTCTTACAGACCAGCAAGGCCACCCCCTTGTTATCCGTGGGGAAACAGAGGCCCAGAGAGGGGAAGGGGCTTGCGCAGCATCACACAGTGGGTTAGAGGGGGAAGCCGAGACTCCAGTAATTCCCTGTGCTCCTGACTCCCAGCCGGGGCTCCTTCCTCTGCCCCCACATCCCCATTTTCTCACTTACCTTCAGGCTCTTTCAGATGCATATCCCTGGCTTCCTGAGTGATGTTTCAGAGGGTCTGAGGCCAGGGACCTTCTGTGGCAGGAGCTGGGGGAATGCATGTCAAAAAACAGGGCCAAATCCAGGTGGGAGGACGTGGGGTTTCATGCTGACCCAGCTTTCCAAACTGAGCACCCTGCCTAGACTTCCGTAGAATTCAGTGAGGAGTTTGCAACTTGAGAGAATTAAGTGGAACTTTTAGAATTTGGTGGAATTAGACAAAGTGCGTAGACTCCAGCTGGGTTCTCTGGAGAGTGTCAGGTTTGGTAGAATGAGGAAATTGTTGGGCTCGAGGCTGAATGGGGTCCCCAGTTTACTGTGGGCAGCCAGGGATCCCCTGGCCTGGACAGCTCCCAGCTCCATCCTGGATGATAGCCTCCTGGGGAGCAGGCAAAATCAGAGGCACCCTTCAAAGATCCCTGTGCGCCAAGGGACAGCACAGTCCCCAAGGCAATTTAGAGGGACAGGGGAAATGTGCCCAACTTAGAAACTTTGGGGTGCTTCAGGGATGATGTCCCAGAGACCCAATTACACAAAGTCTATTTAGAAATCTTAATTGGTGTGAAAAAGTTGGAGGAAGTGGCTCAGGGCCGGGATCCATCCTCACAGGTAAGTCCCCAGACAGTGCTGGCCCAGGAATGTTTACGGAATGAATAAATGACTGATGGATGAACAATTAAATGAATGCATAAGCTATTATCAAAGCATAAATTTTAAAAGGAGTGAGTAAACAAATGATAGGCAGAGTTGCTTTCCAGGAGAGTTAGAGGTCTTGGCTCAACTGTCATAAGGATCTTAAGAAAATGCAAAATCTGGAAAAAGTGTAATGGAGGAGTAAGCTGGAAGAAGAGAGACAACATGTTAGGCTATCAGAGCAAGAAGGTCCTATAGGCCATCTGGACCAATCCCCATCGTATGGAGAGGAAAACCGTCCTAGAGAGGCCAAGGAGTCACCTAGTGAGGCAGAGCATGGCCCTGGGTTCGCTCTAGGACACTGCTTTGCCCACCCTTGTCTCACCATATTTTGTGCCCATTTATCAAATTTTGAAAAAGATTGATTTCTAGGACTCCTTTATCTAGTCTCTATAGCATTCCTTTGTCTATTACATGGTGGCAAACATTTTGTCACTTCTCTTTTTTGTTTGTTTATGGTGTATTTTGTTACACAGAAGTTTATTTTGGGTAGTCAAATTTCTTTCTTTGTTTCTCTCTTCCTTTCTTTCTTTCTTTCTTTCTTTCTTTCTTTCTTTCTTTCTTTCTTTCTTTCTTTCTTTCTTTCTT